CGGACCTCATCCCCTCTATTTATAGGGTTGAAAGTGGGAGTACGTTGGGCGTAATATCGGAGTACGCTGGGCATACTTCGGTTACGCTGGGCGTTCGTATGCTTCATGGCTTACGACTCGAGTCTAGCTAAGCATAGAGTCTGCTAGCCGATGGGACTCGACACTGCACTTGAGTACGTTGGGCGTACTCTTAATTTACGTTGGGCGTAATTCGGGTTTCAAACTTCTAAATTCTGTAACTTTCGCGTACGGGCCCCGTTTTTTGCGTTCTTTATATCCACGCGTAGGTGAGACTATACTCCACAACTTTCATTTAGACTCTGTCAGCTAGTATTGACTTTATTTTTAATATTATGTTTTTAGTAGGTCGGGATTGCTAAATTCCGTTAAAAATTTATAACTTCTTTATCCGACGTCTGTTTTTGTCTGTCTTTTTACCATCTTACTCCTGTTGTGGAGACCTTCAATTCTCGTTTAGGTTGCGTTAGCTAAAAATCGTTCGATCTTTAATTCGAGTTTTTAGCTCTCTACTGCTGTTACGAAACTTAGAAAATTCGTAACTTCTTCATACGAGGTCCAATTTGGGCGATCTTTTTATGCATGTTCACGGTTTAACGTAATCTATGAATTTTGTTTAGGTACCTAAGGCTAAAATGCATTTTATTGGAATTTCAACTTTTTACGTTTAATAATGTTTTACCGGGTGTGTCGTGAATATTTTGAGTGGTCATAATCTTTTCATTATAACTCGGTTTTGAACGTTCTTTATGTTTTTGGAAACCTTGGCATGATATCTAACATTTGATGCATCCCAAATTTAGATTTTTGAACACTTTATTTTTTAGGTTAATTCCGTTGATTCCAAATAGTTCATTGTATTTGCCTTTTGATTGTTACATTGATTTGGAAAAATATAGGGTTGTCACAACACATCGCTCACAACACCTACAGGTTGCGAGTCTGCTAGTGTTCCACTAGGCTATCTAGAATAGTTTGTGGTTGTCATCTATAATCTGCTAGATGACGAGGCCATCGCTTGGGTCATTGCTTCTCACTATCTTTTACCACTCATATATCATCGCTCGTCATTCATCTCATATTTCATCGCTCATCATTCATCTCATCTTTAATCTACCCATCTTTTACCCATCATAATTATAGGTATAAAATACATATACAATTTAAAACAATTAAAACATGTATATTTTTTCATCCAGCATAGATATCAGAAACACAAATAATATACACACATAGCATGTAATTTATATTAAATACTTTATATTTATGTGTAAGATGAAAGTAACTATGCACTCACTTGTTAAAGTGATGATTCCAAACTTGAACAATGCTTCGCTTCTTAACAATATAATTTCCTTCGACAAAACCTAGTATTATTACCACTAGATTTTAATCTAATATTTATCGTGACTAATTATTAGTCTTAGCATTATTATTATTATTATTATTATTATTATTATTATTATTATATAAGCGTTTAAACAATATTTTCCAACCGCTATGTACAGACAGGGAACAAACATAAAACACCGGTGGATAGAACCATTTTGGCATATAGCACTTCTGAAATCCAACAACCATATGCAGCCCTTTAAATCAGATTTCACGTACCGCGAGTAGTTAAAAAGATATTATAACGATACTTATATAAGTCATAATGATAGCCCAAATAATTATTATAAGTTCATAATAACAATATTAATTCTAAATATAAGCTATATTTAAAATATGGTAAGCATAACTTACTTTATAAGGGGGGTTTTTGCTAGGAGTTGGGCTCTGCAGGGGCAAAACTTCATTGCTGAATCTTTCTAAGAAAGATTTTTACATCGCTCACTTTACAATACTAAAACTACAGAAAAAGAAGCCGGATTACGAGGGACTGAAATGTTCGACGGATAACAAGAGAAAGACTCTTGAATCAAAAGAATGATGCAAGAAATATGAGAGCCCGGAGACTCTTATTTATAGTAATTGAATTTTCAAATATCACCCTCTATATTTACTTAAATGACTAAATACTCTTTTATAATACTATTTAAAATAGATTTAATGATATTTGTACTAAATTAATTTCAAAAGTACTCAACACTAGTCTTATAACGACCGCTCGTTAATACCTTTCTAATGATATATACATATGTGTGTGTGTGTGTGTGTGTGTGTGTGTGTGTATATATATATATATGATTTACACTTTATTTTAATACGTAAATGTGCTATTAAAAAGTATAACTCGTTCATACAAACTCCGTTTTTGACATTCTTTATATCCACGTGTAGCTATCGACGAGATCTACAACTTTCGTTTAGACTTCACCGGCTAATTTTGAATTTATATTTTTGTCCATATTTTTATAAAATTATATGATTTTGCTAAAATCATAACTCTCTCGTAAGGACTCTGTTTTTTACATTCTTTTTCTCAAAATTCTTATTTTAAGGAGTATTACGATTTTCTTTTTGGTCGTATTAGCTAAAAGCAATCATTCTCTTCATAGTTTTTTACGTAATACATTCGTTGTGCACGACTGACTTTTATATCTTATAAAAATCATATCTAATTCATACAGATTCGGATTTTATACGAAATTTATATTTGTTTTAGCGCACTTATTTTTACAATTTACGTACGATTAGACTAATTTTTCCTATTTTATTATATTATAATCATCATGAAACATATAATATTCACATAATTCTTCTTTATTAAATCAAGTAGTTTACAATTATTGACCATAACTATTACTTTGGTTAAGATTATTTATCCTAGATAAAAAAATCATTTTTAACGCTTATTATTGAATAGCCTGAATCTGCGGGTGTTATAGAGAGAAAGAGAGAAGAGACAATGAGTCCTATTTATAATTTATGTAAAGACAAAATTGCAAAAATGGTCTCTGTGGTATGTATTTTTTTAGGGTTTTAGTCCAAACTCTGACTTTTTTGGATTCACGGTCCTTTTGGCCATGTTTGTACGTAAATTTGATCCCTCGTAAAATTAAAATGACTATAACGCCCTTTTGATATATATTTTTTTGTTTTTTCTATTTAATTTAAATAAAAAGAAAATAAAATAAATAAATAATTTGGGCCCACACACACACACACACATATATATATATATATATATATATATATATATATATATATATATATATATATATATATATATATATATATATATATATATATATATATATATATATATATATATATATATATATATATATATCTTTTTATTTAAACTAAATCTCACCCTGTATCCCCAGATTCATACACATTTAATATACATTGTACAACTTTTATATAAATCCAATCAAGAAATCTTTTATGCTTCCAAACCCAGAAAATGAAGAGTCGGATGTATCTCTCACAGTGGGGGATGTGATGGCTGATCGGAGTCTTCATGGTGGAAGCAACTCAAAAAAGGAAAAAAAAAATCGCAGTGGTGGTGATGGGTGTCGCACAGTGGCAATTCCGTTGTACTGTTCGTTTGTTTTTTCTGGCATAAACTCAGGGAGAGGGACGAGGAAGGTGCAAATTGATCTGAGGAGAAGATTCTGACAGCAACAACAATGGTGGTGGGTTGCGTCGACGAGGGGTGACAGGAGGTAGATGAAGTAACTCGGGAATGGTGGGTCGAAAAGTCTCACAGTGGCAATGAGGTGGTGACCTTGCTGCCCTGTTTTACTTCTGTCGGTAATGAACGAGACGGTGAGGGATGAGGGAAAGGAGGTGGCTTGGTGGTTGGAGGTTGCTCCGGAAGTTGAGCGGAGTTGGGATGGTTGTTTACGATGGGGAAAAGGTGGTGGCAGTGGGGTGGTGTAGCTTCTTCCTGCTCTACATCAGAAAGCTTAGCTGAGAAGCGATGAAATTGATTTTTGGTTTAATTTGAAATCGATTTTGGGTTTAATTGTAGGAGTTGAAGGTATTACAAATTTGGAATATATATTTGATTCTTCTGTGAATCTTAATCATTGTCTAATCACCGCTACCTGATGTTGTAATATTTATACCTAAACAACCTCGTGAGTGTATAAGTACTGATTTTAGAAGAAGAAGAGTTATTATGTTGATTTGGGGATGTATGAAGAATACGAAGAAAATGAAATTCTTCAGGAGAGAGATAGAGAAAGAGAGAGGAGGGGGGGGGGGCTTGTTATTTTTTTAATTATTTTTTAATTATTAAAATAAATAAATTAGTATTAGATTTAAAAAGAAATAAAGGGAAAACGGAAAATAAATACCATAAGGGTATTACAGTCATTTCACTATTTATATGGACAAAAAACGCAATGAAACTAGCTCAAAAGGACCATGAATCCACAAAAATCGAGGTTTGGACTAAATCCCTAAAAAATGCATACCACAGGACCATTTTTGCAATTTTGTCTTATGTAAATTATATGCAAATGCAAATTATCTGAGTTCAAATCATTTCTTTATATGCAACCAAGAAACTTCCCAAAACCCTGGAAATCCCTCAAAAAAAAAGTCCATACCATGGAGAGTTCTAGAATTGTTTATTTTTGTTCACCCATTACACATTTAGTTAATTCTAATTAATCCTGAATCAATTGTAGATTAATTTTGATTAATAATTAACTAATTCTTATTAATTTCACATTAATTTATTAATCATATAAATTAACAAATCAATTATTTAACCATTATCATATCAATTTATTAAGCACATAATAACTTAACAAATTAATTATATATTTCTAACTAATATATTAATCATATAATATATTAATAAATCATTTTTCCATCATTTTCACTTAGTTTATTAATTATATAATAATCTAATAAATTATCTTTCTCCATCCTAATATCATTTCTAGCTATTTCTGATTATAACTTTATAACCAATTTAGTTATAAATTTATATCAATTTAGTTATGAACTTAAACGTTTTAATCCAACATTAGTAACTCTTTCAATTAAGAGACCATGGGTTCGAGTCTTATTAGAGACGGATGGTAATTTAGGAGTATATTGATTTGTCCATGAAAATAAAAGTTATGCTATTATAAATTGATAAATTCTTTTTTAACATTTTTCATGAATGAGTCTGTTTTGTATAAAAAAAAAAAAAAAATCATAATCTCTTTATATGATTCATATAGCAAATTCGTAAAATATCAAGAATTTTACACACATTTGGCTTTGAAAACGTTTTCTAGTAGGCAGTTGCCAAAACAATTTTGTAGATACTTTAACAAAACAATTATTATCATAAAAAATATTTGAAAATTAATATTTTCTTTTCACTTCACCTTGGACCTCTAGGTTCCAGCCTACAGCATCTTTTTACGAGCCACGGTCGGCCTCTGTTCACTTCTTAGCTCGAGGGTCACACACCACCAAATGCATCGCACGTGAAAGCATCGCATAATTCGCAAAACCCCACGTAACGATGTCTCCCCGTGAATCCGAATTTCACCATCTTTAATTTAAGCTCTCATTCACAGATCATAATCTACAGTTTCAGGCTTTCATCACCTATAGATCTGATAAAAATCACAAGGTTTCTTTTACCTGCGTCAAGCTCAAGTTCACCGGCGGCAATGGCGGATTGGGGCCCGGTTCTAGTGGCGGTGGTGCTGTTTGTGCTATTATCGCCAGGATTACTGTTCCAGTTGCCGGGTCACAACAGGGTGGTGGAGTTCGGCAGCATGCGGACCAGCGGCGCCGCCGTGATCGTTCATGCTGTTATCTTTTTCGGCATTCTCACCCTCTTCCTGATCACCATCGGCGTTCATGTATACGCCGGCTAGTAATTTAAACTTTAAACTTTAAACCCCTTACTTGTTTGGTTTATGTGCTTTTTAAGCCCTTCATCTATGATCTATTTGCTCTTTAACCCCTTAATCTATTACATTGACCAGTTCATTACATTACTTCATCATTCCATTAATTCCGTCCTCCAACCAAGTGAACCAACTATTTATTGTTGGCATGAAAGATATACAACATGCAAGATGATAAATCTTTTTAAAAGTAATTATATAAGCTTTAAAAGAAACATATTTTCATTCAATTTCTGTTTTAAGAAATATATTTTAAGATGAGAAAAAGCAAAGTATGTTCCTTCAAACCGGATTGGTTACACCACAATTTAATACAGCTTGATAGATTGAATCTAAATTCGGTTAAGATTGATAAAAGTCACAACAAAACATAAACATATCAAATTTAAGATTAGATAGAACAAATTTTCCCCAACATGCAACACCATATGTAGTAAATCAGATTTAGCAACAAAAGACCGAATCTTGTTAATTTCAAGCTGGCCAACCTTGCATTTGATGGTTCACATTCGTAGAAGTCACCCCAGACATTTGTTCCGTTTGGTACCTAAAATTTTATGAATATCAAGCATAAAAATCCATCTTTTTATTTTTTGAAATATTAATCTTAAAATGGAGTTTTCTTACCCAATTTGCAAAGTAGTTTTACAGCCAGTTGCGTGATAGAAAGCGTCACGTGAGGGTTGAGACAGTTGGTGTTGATGATGCCCATAAATCATGCCATTTGCATGTGCATGTGCATGTGCATCCCATTGGAGCGCCTCTGCTTGGCTTTCTTCTTCTAACTGTGACCACTACAAGTTTCTAAGGCTCAAATGTTCGAAAACTAGAGATAAAATATAAAGGAAGATATGCAAGAAATACCAATGTACTTTCATTAACTACTCAGTGTATTATAACAATCTACTTTCATTTCTATATATTAAAGCATTGTTAATTTCAGTTTATATGATATTAAGATATTGTACTATGGAAAATCTAACGATTACAACATTATACTTTTAAGAGTAAAATTACTGAAATCGTCCCTATGATTTGGTTAAAATTGAACGTTTAGTCCCTAACTTTTTTTTTTTTTTGTACTCGGATCGTCCCTATGGTTTGATTTTGTTGCATTTTTCGTCTCTATGGTTTGATTTTGTTGCGTTTTTCGCTCTTAATACATAAAGTTAGGGACCAAAGATGCAATTTTGACCAAACCACAAGAACGAAAAATACAACAAAATCAAACCACAGGGACGATCTGAATGCAAAATAAAAATTAGGGACCAAATATGCAATTTTAACTAAACCACAGTAACGATTTCAGTAATTTACTCTACTTTTAAAAAAATCTTATTAAACATGTACATCTTGAAAAATCTACCAAGTAGCGATGAAAATTGTGTTATATTTTTCGATATATGTCATTTTTATATAACCGGGTAGATTTAAAAAGTTAAAAAAGTAAATGGAAGTAGGATATTGATAAAAAAAAAAAGGGTAAATTACACAAATGGTCCTTGTGGTTTGGGGTAGTCTGCGTAGTTGGTCCCTAACAATATTTTTTAACTCGGTCCATCCTTACTTTATTTTTTTGTTGCACGCTTGGTCCCTGATAGACATAAAATGACAAGATTACCCTTATTATATATTTTTCATTATTAATATATTATTATAAAGTATAAATAAAACATAAATTTAAAAAAACAACTTAAATAAAATAAAAAAAAATTGTATATTATCGTCATCATCCCTTCATACCCTATTATCTTCATCCCCATTCCTTTTCCTTCTTCCTTACCACCTGCATCTTTCCCTCTTCTTTAAACTCAAGAACCCTAATGGACAACTAAACCTACCATCGTCGGACACCACTTACAGGCCGCCACCACCGGTCGGAAACCTCAGCAAAGCCATCGACCATGTCTCACCACCTTTATACTCTATCTAAGCCACTCTAAAGCCTCCATCGAGCGGTCGCAAAGCGTCGATCTGCACTATAAAGCCACCATCGACTGTCAAAATCATCCACCACCTATCTACTTCACTGGAAACCACTCTAAAGGCGCCATCGGTCCTGATTTTCACTCCAAAGTCACGATATTTCGATGAAACGACAATCATTTGGTTTAAAAAACATGAAGCAGATTGGAAACGACCACCAAATCTCTCCTTGTGTTTATCTCTTTCACTGGAAGGCTTGACAAAGTACCGATGGTTTGAGAGCATCATGACGGGATTCAAATGTTATATGCTTCATTAATCGTTTCAGACTGGGTTTCATCATGAAAGTGTTAGGGTTTCAAACATTTTGATTTCAAATTTTAATTCTGATTTATAGGTTTCATCTGATTTTAATTTTGGATTTCTAGTTTTAATGTCTTTGTTGCTTAACTAGGTTCAGTTTCAATTTCTAATTTCTAGGGCTCTTAATTGTAGTAGTGGTAATGACTGGAGGTTGGTGGTGGCGGTGGCGAGAAGAAATTTTTTGGGTGCAATGATTAGAGGTTAGTGGCGATGGTGCCCAGAAGTAATTTTCCAGTGACCACGCGTGCCCAGAAGGATTGGGATAGGGATGGGTTACATTTTAATTTATTTTCATTTTTTAAATAATTAATATATATATATATATATATATATATATATATATATATATATATATATATATATATATATATATAAAACAATAAATAAAAAAGAAATGGATGAGGGTAAATTAGTCATTTTAGAACGGACAAGGACCAAGCGTGCAACAAAAATATAAAGTAGGGACCGACCGAGTTAAAAAAAATTGTTAGGGACCAATCATGCATATTACCCTAAACACAGGGACCATCCGTGTAATTTACCCAAAAAAAAATCAATGAAAGTACATTTTTAGTCCTTGCATTTAACCAAAAGATAAGCATGTGCATACTCTTAGTCGAAGGGTCTTGTTGGACTCGTAAAGTTGGTGTTCCTGAAAACAAAATTAAAACGTATCCAAATGCAATTACCATTAAGCCAAGAATTTAAGATAATAAAATTCACGATCTAATTTATTTTAAAATTTAAAATCCAAAAACTAGTTCGTACCATTTTCTGTTGTTCATAGAGCTTATCCAGCAGCGATTGAGTCTGTGCAAACAAGATGGTAGGAAATTACGAACAAAAAAAATAAAAAAGTTAAAATTTTTATTCTATTTTTTAGATAAAGAAACATGAATCCAATATGGATTCGCGTTTTTGTTGATATGGTAAAAGGTCAAGGTGTTGACTTTCAAGAGTCAAGTAATATCTAGTAGCATTTGAGAATGAACTTCGAAGAATAAGCTGTAAATAACAAATGTACCCTTATTGTTCTAATCTGTTTCAATGAACAATTAAGTTGTCTTTCAAGTGACTCGAGCTCGTTGGTGGTTAAGGAATCTATCTCCTCGCCATAGTAATTCCTGAAAGTTACCGCAGTAAAAAGTAAAAAACGAGTTCACAATGGATTTGTGCAAACTGCAATTTCAAGGGTTCTTGCCTTTCGAGTTGTTTCAGGGCGTCGTAGCGCTCTTTAAGCCTCATGTATTCTTGGTAACTGCTTTGTTCCTAATCTCCACAAAAATATTCCCATAATAATTAATAATAAACATATTCATAAAGCGTCTATTTATATTATTATAAACCTAGAAATTTCGTAAATCAACCCAAGTAAAAATTTGACATTTACTATTGGAGATGATAAAACTCAAACCTGTCTATGAAAACATTTGCTTAAAGGTAAATTGCTTATTTGTTCAATAATTTACTATCTTTCTGTTATTTGTGTAATAATGTGGATTATATCCAAATTACGCACCTACATTTCAAATTAGCATATAACAATACAACATTGTATGTATATTAATGTTTAACTGATAAAACATAGTTAATTTGTTATATTGTCCCTGTGGAAAACGAATTTGCTGTTTAAATTGGTAAAATATAACACTTTGTTAAGTAAAAACATTTACCTTTTTAAATGTACATATATGACATAATAGTTATTTAAGTAATTTTGGAAAGTTTTTTTTATAGATATAAAAGTTTTTCTAATATACGCTAAATAACTATGAAGCAGAAGCGACAAATGAACCGATTAGATATCATGTCAAAAGTTTAAACATATAATTATACAGAATTATACATAAATGGCTCACAATTACAGTCTATTTAATAGTTATAAAATAACTAAATATTTGGAAATATAGTGTTTTATAGCATATTAATTAAAGTTATCCACGCATAATATAAAATCAAAATAAATGTATCTAAAAGTTTTTTTTGGTTCATCTAGAAGAGCAAAGTGGTTACCTTTATAGAGTCTAATTTTTTTTATTATATATTTTTATTTAAAAATAAAAAATTATAATAAAGATAGGGTCTATTTTTTCTTATTCTTACGTGCTTTTGAAAATATTTAATTTTTCAGAACAGTAGAAAAAATATAATAAAAATTAGTATCTTTATAAAACTACTAATATATTTTTTTTGTAAATACATAGTTTTAATTGTATATATAAAAATATACAAAACTAATATATTAATGGGTGAATTTTATTAATTTAGAAAGTCTTGGTTATATAATTCATTTAATAAAAATCATCTTATCATACAAATTAGTAAAAAAAAATACACATAAAGCATTAGAACCATATCATATATTAAAATAAATAACGTCAAGTTACAATATTGTGTGTTTCGATCTTAGATTGAATCATTGTATACTTTCAGGTAAAAAAAGTATTACTTAAATTTTAAAGAGTATATAAAATATCGAAATAATCATATTTAATTAGCCCTCGCTTAAAACCTTATTTTCCATATTCCCTATTCAGATTTCCTTTCGATCTCATATTAAAAAATAATCTTGTCAACTTCCCTTCATATAAGTTTTTCAAAATAAAATTTTCAAATCAATAAAGACATTGCATATTTGAAGGTTAATATATAATCTTTACGTCTAAATTCATATACAA